TGTGTGTGTGTGTGTGTGTGTGTGTGTGGGTGTGTGTGTGGATAAGTGTTAGTCGTGTGGGGATGCCCCCTTACGGGGGCGTACGTGTCTTTTGGTGTATTTGTCTGTCTGGTATATTGTTTGTCGGGGTATAGTAATTACATTTATTTTGTCGACTTTTGTTTATCTTTTTTTTAATAATGGGAACTGCAACTGCGATAGCGCTATTTTGTAAATCGTTTATAGATATAGATTCTACAGATGATAGTGAAGATGATGAAGACATTTTTTATGTGATAGAATAAACTAATTGTAAATATTCAAGAACAAGAATTCAAAATTACATGGAAAATGTAGTACAGCTTTATTATGTCGTCGATTATGCGTAATATAGCCATTTTGATTGAACCTTCGTCGAATGTGTAGTTTGGTTTTGTTTGCAAACAGACATCAGACATCATACTGTCATTCCTCCACCAATCTGCTGCAATCACACTACCTCTTGAGGTTTAGCAGATTTAGCAGTCGATGTTATGTAGAAATAGTAGTATTTTGACGTTTATTCCGCTGATGCAGGCTGCTGTAAAGCTTGCGAAATTTATTTTCGGAATGTAAAATCGTGCTGACAGTACTTTCAGCTAATTTCGGAACATAGCCGCTGTATATTTATTATGCTACATTCACTTGGGACACATAGAACACTAGCGACACCCCAACTTCTGCCATTTCTTGGACAAATTTTCTCAATTTTCCCGTATGAGTTTGTGCTCCTTGTCTAGTCTCCCTGACAGCAGTAATACAAAAAAATCAAAAGATAGGTTATGTTATTTAAATAATTAACGTCGTCTCGTTAATTTTTTCATTTATATAAAACATATTGGTTACGTGTAACACAAGCAAAATTTAAATTTCCGAGTTATTTTTTGTAACAAAAACCTGCAATAGAAAGATTATAACTGTTCTGATTTTGTAATGTTTTGAATATTCGCGCGTTATAAGTATTACAAAATATTTGAAATCCGCTTTGTGGTAATAGAGAACTGTACTTTGTGTTAGAGGGGGTTATTTCAGAAGCACGTGTTAAACAAGATGCACAAAATGTTCGTGTCCCTGTAGTAGAATATTGCGCTTAGTTCGGTATTTTCGTGTAAATTTGAATTAATGGTGTCTTGTTAACAGTTAAATACTTTATATCAATATTAAGTGTCAAATAATTAGAAAAAAACAAAATGGCTCTTGGCGCAGCAGTTAACGATGTAGAATATGATACAAAATCAAATAACCTGACTGCGGATAGCGAAAAGGTGAATAAAACCACCAAGAACGAGGAAAAAGTTACAGGTTCGTAATGAATAATAAATTGGTTTTTGTGTTATTTGTTAGAACCGGTAAATAACCGATCCTGTTACGTAACTAACAGCTATTATCCAATAATTAATTAACTTTAATTTTTATTTCGTCTTACAAAAGATTATATTGGCTTATTTTATTATTTCACAAAATAATGAGCTCTATATTTTTAGTATAATAAACTTATTGAATAGTAATAATGCCATAAATATGAACTCTGCCTTGAGCTAAATTTTGTCACTATCTTAAGAAAGTGGTTTGTAGTTTTTATGGAGAACTTTAGAAATAGGTACAAAGCGAAGATAAAATTGAATTTCAGTGTTACTGCTAAAAATTTAAATTATGCATAGGTAATTGTTAGTTTATACATGTAAAAAATATATATAACCTATAAACGGCCGTGGCCCCATTTTTTTTGTTTAAGAATCTTCAAACAAGAGTTAACATCGGTTAAATAAACAATTTATTTTTATGGATCTAATAAATTGAATCATTCACATTATTTCCAAACTATAAGCTCAGATTATATATTTTTTTATATGATTAAGTAGGTAGGAACTGTTTAGTCAGCTAATTCATACCTAAGCTAGAGCTCCATACAATATTAACAGGAATATATGAGATAAAATTTAATATTTTATTTATGGCATTTTCATTATTATGCAGGGTGAACAAATTTAAATGGACCAACAATCTTCATGTAAAAATAACTAATAAGAGTTTATATAAACTTTGATCTAGAGACCACAATTTAAAAATGTTGAGAAATAGACCTTCAAATTCGTGTCTATTTGTTGATTATAACAATTGTTTTAGCCAATAAATTATTATATTATACAGGACGTTTTTTAAGTCAATATAATAACTCTAGAGGTGTGTTGCTTGGATTATTTTAGTCTAAAAAGTCTTAGTAAACCAGGGTTCTAAAGCTACTGATTTTCAAGATATAATGTGCTGAAATTTAAAATAAAATATTTTTTCAAATATTTTTGAAAAGGATTTACGTAGATTGATGGATCTTGGGCTGAATTGGCATAGAAATATCTGCATATTTATTAAAATATTTTGATAAAATGATTAAGGAACACACCCCTGACATTGTTAGGTATAAATTATTATTAGTGATGGGAATAATCGAATGAATTAAATAATCGAGAGGTTACCATTCGAATTAATTTTATAATCGAATGATCATTCGAATGAATAATCGAAAGTTCACTTTGAAAATTTCCGGTCTATCCCAAATCATATGCGAAAGATGTTAGGTAAATGAATGACTGTAGCGGATTGGGGCATTTCTTCCATATTTCTTCGTTGCCAGTTGAGTGATTCAGCAGCATGTGTTTAAAATGAGTAGTCGCCGCCTAAAGAGGTCCATTGTTTGTGATTTTTTTGAAAAAAAAAATTATATAGAAAACATAATTTGGTATTATTTTCATTCATATGAATTTTTATCCCCGCTAAATAAAGCTCCCATCTAACCCCCCGCGATGCCACTCATAAAATTCCTGCATACCTTTTTTATTGTATGTCGGTGATATTTGATTGTCTCATCTATCCTCTCGGCCGTCTTATCTCGAGATGCGTTGGAACAATCGAAACATCTGCGCACTCGCTCGAGTAGTGCACGTATTAGTAACGCTGTGGCCACTGTCATTCGTATCCGAATAATCGAATGATTCTATATGACCACTCGAGATATCTCGAGAGATTTTCATAATCGATATAATCGATAATTTTCATTCGAGTAGTCCCATCACTAATTATTATGTAACAGGTTTTACATTTTTTTCGTGTTATTAGAAAATAAACAGGAGAAAGATGTGGAAGAAAAAGAAAAAGATGAAAGTGAAGAAAATAAAAACAAAGATGAAGTGGTCTTCATTCAAGATATTGGGTTTTCAGTGAAAATTGTTAGTCCTGGAGCAGAGCCATTTGATATTCAGGTTTGATTTTTATTAACATTTTTATAAAACTTATTGCCTAAGTTTAAGCCACAAAATGAACTCTTACATTCAATTTTACTCCAGTGTAATGAAAATTGTTATACTTAAATATATTTTTATAAAAAACAGGTTTCAAGCATGGAATTAGTTCAGGAAATTCATCAGTTACTGATGGATCGTGAGGACACTTGCCACAGAACCTGTTTCTCATTACAATTAGATGGCAATACATTAGACAATTTTGCCGAACTAAAAAATATCGAAGGCCTAAAGGAAGGTTCAATAATAAAAGTTGTAGAGGAGCCGTATACTATGCGTGAAGCTAGAATTCATGTGAGACATGTAAGAGATCTGCTTAAATCTCTTGATCCGGCAGACGCGTATAATGGAGTCGAATGCAACTCTTTAAGTTTTCTTAATACTGTCACACAGGGGGATATTTTGGGTGAGTATCAATGAAATAATGCATAAATTATTCAAACCATACCAAATTTTCTAATAGAGAAAAAGAAGGTGAGACCAGAAAGTGTAGATTGCACACCACCCGATTATATTATGCCGGATAGTAAAGATCGGCCTTTAACTGCGCTGCAGCCCCAGCTCAAAGATCAGAAAGTACCTCAATGTGTCAAGGTCGGTACTCAAAGAAAAACATTTATTTTTGTTATACGTTAAGTTACTTTCAGGTGTTAACTACATCAGCTTGGAATCCTCCTCCAGGTCACCGAAAAATTCACGGTGATTTAATGTATCTGTATGTTGTTACATTAGAGGATAAACACTATCACATATCTGCTTGTTCACGTGGATTTTATATAAACCAGTAAGTTAAGTAGTTAACCTTTTTATATTTTACTTTTAATGGTTTTAATCCATCAGATTTTATTCTTACTGCGTTGGTTATACCCAGTGATCTAAAACTACTCGCATCTACCTGGTGTTTCAGAGTTGAAATGACAAAAGACTAGGGGAGATTCTGCTTAGGAAAATATGTAAAAAAAGTTCATATGAATATTGGTCGTGCTTCATTTGTGAGATACAGGGTGTTAATTTTTTTTTAAACTGAGTTTTTTAAAAATATACGCTTTAGCCGATTTGAATGAAATTTTTACAGTTTATTAAAACAATTATCCTACATCAACTGAACCGATTAGATTTGATCTAGAATTTTCAGGGGCACACAGTGGGAAATATTGGAAAAAATTTGAGCCACGCGTCAAAATTAATCAAATAGTACCGGTGAGGTAATTGGAATATATGCCTAGAATTTTTTCAAAATGGGCGAGTAATCTCTAGCCTCAAACTCGATCATACGAAGTATGACATATTCGGTATCTAAAAATGAAAAAAAAAGGAAAGTTATGTACTAAAGGCTGCCAAACAAAAAAAAATCATAAACATTAAACATATTCCTAAATCATGAATCTAGACCAGCTTTGCCAGATTTTTTTTCGGGCAAAGTGGAATTTTTCTACGGGTTTGTATAATTGATGATAATTGATTCAAGAGCAGGAAAAGCGGGACTTTAATTTTGGATAAAAAAGCGGGACGTCTGGAAACGCTGATCTAGACCCAAAATGATGTGAGTATAATTCCATAAAAATGGTACTTTTGAGTGTGCAACCAATATTTTTGCATAACTTTAACCTTATAAGAAGCTGACCAAGAAACCTGAAAACCTAACCTCAAATCCAAAATAATTAAGTTAAAAATCCACAGAAACAATATATTTTCTTCAACAAAGGATATGATTGCTTCAAAAAGACATTCTGCAATACAGGGTGATCTATTACCGGTATCGAGCGGATGAATATAGGAAACTAGACCTGCTACGATTATGAGGTAAAAAATCTATTAACGAATTTGACCAAAAGAAATTGATTTAAAATATTTTCAAGTTTGTAACTTCACCGCTAGGCGCTAGGTGCAACTGCTATAGTGTTACACAGAATTGTTGGTTTTTCAAAATTTCGCCTATGTAAACTAAGTTGAAAATACACTTTTTAGATACACTGTTAAACCCTTCACAAGTTTGGTTGAACTTTTTTTGTTATTATCATAGCAACGCCAGTATGAAGGACGCCATCTTGAAATTTTTAAATTGTCAACTTCTAAATGCCTTAATCAATTTCAATAAACGATGGCTCATTTTAAAGAACTATTAATAAAATTTATATTTATGATATGGGAATAAAAATATTATTTTTCTGCGCAACGGTAGATGACGCTGAGAAAAGTTTTATAATTGTCTCCGTTTACTAAAAAAAATAAATGCAACAGTATAGTTTTTTTTTTTTTTTTCATGGCTTGATAGACCATTCATTAAGGAAAACAAATACACAGACCGGAGGTCGATATCTTTTTTCGTTTTCAAGTTATTGCTAAAATAGTAAAGTTTTGCTAGAACATCCTCCTTTATTTAGTTCTTTAAATAACATTGACATAATCCAAACCAAAATTAAATTGTAATTAATTGTAAAACTATATCAATCTTGTCCTTAAAAAGAACTTGCTTTATTTTTAAATTTTTTTGAATATGCAGGGACAATTTTTCATTTTTTTTTATTCCAAATATCTGTCTTTGTGACATTTTATAGACGACGTCATTTCATGTTTTGTTTATGTTTTCATAAAGAAACTCATTGCGATAATTCCTTATTTTTTGTTATGGATCTCAGAGATGTGCCAAAGTTAGCAAAAACGATGCACTTGTAGACCTATGTTCATATGAACTTTTTTACATATTTCGCTGAGCGGAATCTCTGTTAAGCTTTTGTCACTTCAACTCTGAAGCACTATAATGCGTTTTGCGTCAGGGTGTCATAAAAAATAGTGTAACAAACTTTGAAGACTGGTAATACTCGCCAAAATAAAAAAATTGTTTTATTGAACTCTCTAAAATGCTTAGAAAAAATAAAAAATTTAAAAGTTGATTTTTATTTTGTTACATCTGTTGACAAAATGTATTTTGAATGGAACTTTCTAAACAAATCTTACATGAAATTCAATGGTGTTCCAACCAGTGGCGGCTCGTGGTATCTTTGGCAGAGGAGGCTTGAAATGAAAAACTTTAAACCGTCGCCTTGTAATCAAACGGGCACAGGCACATAATTAACATAAAGTAAAAGCTCTTATTTTGTATAAAACATTAAATAACACTCATTTTTTGTAAATTAGCAATGAGTACAAAAACTAAAAGAAATTCGTATAAATTAATATGTAATGAGCGTTCAAATAAAAACGTGGTCGAAGTTGGCTCTGACACATTGGACGTAGGGAGTAGCTTATAGTGACCAACTTAACCTCATTTCTCAACGAGCTGTATAGCAGCTGTCAGTTTCAATAACGTTAATGACTATATAACTTTATTTTAAAGAATAATCGTGATAACAATAACAAACAATTAAAGGAGCTGCTGAAAGTGTCCCCATCCTTGTTCCAAGCACTTTTCACACCTGTTCCTCAAAGAATTAAAGACATTTTCTAAGATGCTCGGGGTATTGTTAATTTCACGAATCTTGTCTATAAGTCGAGCCTGCAGATGGTTTAAATCAGGAATAGGCAGTTCAAAAATAGTGTTTTTAAGGTAAGGCCACAAAAAGAAATCACACGGCGTAATATCACATGACCTCGGTGGAAATTCATGCTCAGCATTGAGACTTATTAGTCGATTTTGGAAAACTTCCCTCAACATATTCATCGTCTCGCCTGCCGTATGTGCCCTTGCGCCATCTTGTTGAAAGTAAAAGTTTGTAATTTCGTTTTCTTCCAGCTGGTTAACAAAAGGAGCGATAATTTCTTCTCTATACCTTTGCGCAGTAAGAGTACCATTAAAAAAAATAGGTCCATAAATCCTCCTTTGATTGAGAGCACACCAAACTCCAATTTTTTGAGCGTGTAGAGGGCCCTCGACAAAAAAGTTATCTGGTTTTTCAGAAGACCACATTCTCATATCCTGTGAGTTTACGTAACCACTTAAATGAAACCAGGCTTCATCAGAAAAAAAGGTGATATTATGAAGTTCACCGTAGTTGTTTAAAAACCATTCACAAAATACAGCCCGTCGCGGAAAATCAACTTCATGAAGTTCTTGCTGACAAGTTAAACGATAGGAGAACAAACGCAAATCTTTTTTTAACACTGTGTGGCAGGTACCGACTGATACTCCCACCATTTGTGATAAAACACGTACAGAAGTTCTTGGCGCATTTTCCATTATTTGTTGGACATTTTCTTTTAATTCTTCAGTCCGCTTTTTAGGTCGGCCCACTTCCACTTTTTCATCATGTCAGTGAAAAGTAATTTCTTGAGACGATAAAAATATTACTACATCGATTAGTCTATTTAAAATATCTCTATTTCACGAACCTTCTCGTTATAATGTTATATTTCCGTTTTTTGAACAGAATCTAAAGCATTTACAATATTCTGTTTACCGAACATTTCAAATTTAATACGCGAAGAAATATGTTCTTGCGATTTTTCGTGTCTTTCAAGGTCTCTCCCTAATTTTTTAAATTGTTAAAACCGACCCTGCCCCAAACCGATAAATTATCATTAGTGAAAAATAAACATTGCCAGCAGTATAATTTATTTCTAATAGTTGATGCAATTAACCAGTCGTTTTTCTATAATTATTATCGCTAAATCCCCTATTTTGTTTTTCACCCACTGCAACTAAAACTGCAAAGAAGGTGTTGGTCCCGATTTCTGTTTAATTATGAGCTTTTCATCGTAACTGAGATACTAAATCCTTTTAATAATAAATAATCCACAATGTCCATGCAACTAAAGAAGTTGTTGAGGTTATATTTGTTTTCCACACTTATTTTATTTTAATAAAGTTAAGTACATACCAGAGTAAAATGTAAATGATTGTTTTACTAATTAATTATGATCGTCTCACAAAAATTCTTAAGAAAAACTACACATAAACACCAATTAAAAACAAAAACGCACTCACAGACGACTAATGTTTTTATTATGAAATGGGAAATGCAACTAATGCAACATTGCAACATACAACTGTGATCGCCGAGGTGGTACAGAAGAAGGGCTATATTGAAAGATTTGCTTGTTAAAAAGAGATGGAAGGTAGCAACAAGCCTCCGTGCTCGACTGGTTAAGCTTGAATGTAGATTTTGTGGGGATATAATTTCAAGGTCACGCACCATATAGAACACTGGTAAAGGCAGGAGGCTTGAGAAAGTTATTTGCCAGCGACTATAATGCGAATTCGGAGAGCGCGAAAAATAGTGAACATTTAAAAATCGTATATTTACGTGCTCGAGATCTCCCTTAGTAGGTACCTAATTAGTTGCATATGAAAATAGATTTGTATGAAAATTTCGTAAGTAATATTAATTATATGATGTAAAATAAAAAAATTAAAAGAAAACTTTTGCAATACTATCAAAAACTGCAGAGGAGGCTTAGCCTCCCCAGCTTCCTCTAGCGGGCCGTCACTGGTTCCAACTGTGTTCATATGATATTTGGAAAGGATAAGTTTGTTCAACCCAAAAATCCATGGTACAATAAACCTTAAAACCACAAAAAAATTATTTAGAGGCAATTTAAGTTGCTCGGTACAACTTTGACAATTATATTCTTTGTTTTTTTTTATGGCAAAGCACAGCAAACAACCTGTAATTATAATTTAACAAATATTTTGAGTACAATAGTATCTTAATTTATTTAACTTTAACAGATCTGGAGCGGAAGAATTTAATCCTAAACCTGCATCGCCTAGTCATTTATGCCATTCATTAATTGAACTGTTGAACCAAATATCACCTCAGTTTAAAAGAAATTTTGCTTTACTGCAGAAGAAACGGAGCCAACGGCACCCATTTGAACGTGTAGCTACTCCGTATCAGCTATATGCATGGACTGCACCGACCATGGAACATACTTTAGATGCCATAAGAGCTGAAGATAGTAAGTAATTTAGCTATTTTTCTATTTGTCAATTATGTGGTTACAATTTTTGGTTTTAAATTTTTGTATGCTATACAGCGTGTCCCACTAGTGCGGGAAAGTCCAATATCTATGTTAAAATGAGGATTATATGGATTTTTCTTTTTACTGTGTTGCCACATTTCTCGATGTACAAATTAAAAATATATTCAACTATACAGGGTGTTCCACTTTTCCTGGACAGACACCAACTTTGGTTTTTTAAATGGAAACATACATTTTTTATATTTTTTTCTGATTCTACATAAAAAATAAAGGGTACTTTGCAGTGGCGGCGCGTGAACATTGATTGAATGTGTTCTGCTTAGGGTTGTTACATTTGTTGAATTGAATTCCGGGATATTAAGTGTCCGGAGTCTCTAAATGGCGCCGCAGGCGAAACATTTTTAAATTTTCAAGGTCACGCGTTTTCCTGGCACTTCTGAATTTCAAAGAACAATGAATTTATAAAAAAAATATAGATTTTCACAAGAATGATTTTTGAAATTGATACCTTTTTTAAAATATCTATTTACGAATTACCTACTGACGGTATAAATAAATTGGAATAAAATAAATATATTTTATTAAATTATTGAATATTGTTTATAAACAAAAAAATCGTTTGTGAAATTTACCAACGATTCAACGAATTTTAATTTTCCTCGGCGTGTTATGATTTTTTCTTTATCTTTTTTTATATATATGTACATTATATTATATTCCGGGAGTTATACGTGCAAATCCGAAATCCGGGACCATACAGCTAATTCCCGGTACAATCACAGAAAATCCCGGTCATACCTATGTGGCTAGATGTTCTTTTAATATGTCGTCAAGATCTGCACTAAAATTTATGAGTCCACGAAACATATCAGGGTTGTCCGAATTTTCTGTCTCGTCGTGTCCGCGAAGTGCTAATTCGAAAGCTACGCAAAATTTTATGCAATCTATGATTTTAGATAATACATAACGATTTTTCGTTACCTGTTCATTGTGTTTCCGTATATTATCCCAATATGCAGAATCTAACTGACTTCTTATATTTATTTTACCTAAAGACTTAATGACTTAAATCTTTCACACTGTATATTGTCCATGCTTTATCTCCACCGAAAAGTAAGCACGGAAAACAAAACAGTGAATTTTTTAAATCAGACCCCCACATCCACTCTGCTTTTGTGTATACATTTTTGTTTTTTTATAACTTTTACTTCTTTTATTTTTAGTTTATCCTCATAAGGCAGGAAACCAAATAAAGTTTTTTTTAAACGAAACGCTATTCATTTTAATAACTATAATATCCGTAGACACCTAAACGAAAATATTCACACGTGCCGCTCGCATAAATAAACCACCACATACCACGTACGAAATATTACTGCATTTACTGCAGCGCAGTGGCTGTTGCTATTGCAGCCGCAAAAGCCCCTATCTTCGTGTACTGGGTCACGTGCCTAATTAGCCAATAAAAACAAAGGACGCATCTAATTGTTCGTTGTCCACACATTTTGTATATTAGATTGCATATATTAAGGAGCGTAGCTCGTGTCGCAATAAATAATAATATAAGCTCCTAGATTTATTTTAGCACGAGTACATTTCCATTTGGATTCTTTAAATATTTTGTTGATATTTAATATGAGTAAATACATAAAATTTTATGTGTTCTGCAGCTCCGCAGCTCTTATGGTAAAACCGCCACTGGTACTTTGTGTGGAATAGTTCTATTCAAATATTCACAGTTTTTGAGATATCTCGCTTGAAAGGTTTTTCTAGTCGATATTGGTTGCTTACGTTTTCTGATACTGACAGGTTATACTAATAGCTACTAAGCCCATTTTTTTATCAGATGTTTAGTAAGGATGACTCTTCTGAATCATGCTCCAAAAACTGGCTTGCGTTATACAGGGTGACCAAAATATCATGTCAAAATTGCCAATTGAAAAATTGAAAAATCTCGATTTTTTTAAATGCAACGCCCTGTATATTTTCATACCATGAGATGCAGAATTAAATTCTCTACAACTTTGCTATACCTGCTCCTATACCAAAATTCATTAGTTTTTCATGAAATCTCATTTCTATGAAAAAATGCGTTTAAAGTTTACAAATAGCTTATATGTAAAATAACGTAGTAGCCTCTTGTCAAAGGATAATCTGGATAATTTTCGATTCACATAAGGTTTAATAGAAAAGCGACAGTAATAATTGTGGAACCTCTCCTTCAGTTTTACAAAACACTTTGAACGAGGATATCTTTGTAAATATGGATTATTAGTTTGGTAAATACGACTTGCCAGTAAACAGTTACCATGAGTTTTACTAATTATTCTATTATTTATTTACTAATTCTTCTTTAGAGTCATTAATTTCACAATTATTACTATCGCTTTTCTATTAAATCTTAAGTGAATCGAAAATTATCCAGATTATCCTTTGACACAAGCCTACTACGTTATTTTACATATAAGCATTTTACAAATCTATATTTTTGACGAGTCGAAAATCGATTCGTTATTTTGCGAATCGCACAGGCCTAGTCAAAATACATAAAGCCTATTGTACAGACCACTTTTTTATTTTGTGTGCCAGTGTAATTATTGAGTATTTTTACAATATTCTCGACAAAACGGGAATTCTAATGTTTACATGGGTGCCTATGTTTTCTGTGATTTTTTACTGCCAAAAATTAAATGAATCCTTGTATTTCAACATTTTTAGTGTTTGAAGTTTCTTGTTCTTTCATTAATAATAATATAATACATCTTACTAAAAGTATGATTTCTTGTTTATGGCTATTAGTATTGGTCCTTGCTGGTCCTGCCAAGTCAACAGCATAATAATATATGGCAGAATTGCCAATGAAAATATAGTAAAAGTTCCTAATTTTACAGTATCCAGTTCAGTAAAGATATGATTCCACCACTTATTTACAACATTACTTTTAAAAATTGCATTGAAACATGATAAAAAAAATAGTCCACAGGCCCACGTACAAAGAAAAAAATGATTACCAGCAAGCTGTAACTTTGCGTGCAGCTTAAGTTTGACGAGTCTCCCAAGATATGACTAAGAGGAAAATTCAACAATGGTAAGTTTTCCCGTGATTTTCAGGAAAACATGTCAATCTGGCATAAACATGGAATGTTATGGCCAACACTTTTTTTTAATTTTAAATGAAAGATATATTTTTTTTAAAACCCCCAAAAAATTTGTCCGACAAAAATGTTGGTATTTTGAGTTTGTCCCCCACCCCAAATATGTCGATTTGGTGACATTATGGTTGGTGACAACCAGCAAGCTGATTTTTCTGGGAGGTTTTGGTAATAAGATTTGAAATTAAAGTATCTTATTGTCCGACAAAATACTTGAGAATGTTTTGCAGTCCGACTCCCCAAAGATGTCGACTTAATGACAACATGGTTAGTGATAACCAGCAATCTGGTTATGATTTTTTTCTCTAATAATTGAAATGTATAACACAATAATATACTTCCGTCCGCCAAAAAGATTGGAAAATTTGCCTTAAAATTGGGAAAAATAACTATTTTTGTGGTACCTAATGTTCATTCCGCTATAAAATAATTAATTTTTTAATGAAAAAATAAAGAAGAATAAATAAGAAAATTATCTTGTTAACAGGAGCAACATAAATTGAAATTCATAAATAATTATGTCTAACTAATTTAATTAATTTCTATCAAAATGATTTCTTTGTTCAAAAAACTTATAATATGTACATTTTATTTTCTAAACTATTGTAACTATTTTATAAAAAATGATAACTATACAATGAATGCATACATTTTTGCTTGTGTTTTTTTAAATTAATATTTGCAATCTTGTTTTGACAAACAGTTTACACATAGTGTTGTTCTTGAAAAACCAGTTAAACCAATTTTAAAAATATTATACATTTATCAACGCGTTTATAAAAAGATTGTCTTGTTGTAAAGTATAAATCCTTAATGCGAAATGACATTGCAGCATTTAAAACCTGCTGCCAAAGTTCTTAACAGGTGTTTATAGTTTATCCATAAACAACTGATTTGTAACCCCAAAAACGGAAGTCTCAGCATTCCATCTCACGTTTATGTACATGCAATTTAAATTAAGATGTAATTTTAGGTACGAATAATACTTAATGGACAGTAGCATACAAATGACAGCAATAAGACAAATGGAATATGTCAATTATTTGATTTTCGTCCAAACTTAAGAAACTTCACCGCTAAATTAATAATAGGTAGGAACTTCATTGTAATTTAATTCAACAGCATTGGAAGTTTCAAAGCCAAATATCTTGAAAACGGTGCGAGACAGCTAGTTTTATAAAGTGTTAACCTGTTAACAAGATAATTTTCTTATTTATTCTTATTTATTTTTTCCTTAAAAAATTAATTATTTTATAACGGAATGAACATTAGGTACCACAAAAATAGTTATTTTTCCCATTTTTAAGGCAAATTTTCCAATCTTTTTGGCGGACAAGTATATTATTGTGTTATACATTTTAATTATTAGAGAAAAAAATCAGAACCAGATTGCTGGTTATCACCAACCATGTTCTCGTTAAGTCGACATCTTCGGGGCGTCGGACTGCAAAACCTTCTCAAGAATTTTGTCGGACAATAAGATACTTTCATTTCAAATCTTATTACCAAACCCTCCCAGAAAAATCAGCTTGCTGGTTGTCACCAACCATAATGTCACCAAATCGACATATTTGGGGTGGGGGACAAACTCAAAATACCAACATTTTTGTCG